GAGGAGGAGGGGAGGAGGAAGAGGAGGAGAGGAGGAGGAAGGGGAGGAGGAGGAAGAGGAGAAGGAGGAAGAGGAGAGGAGGAGGAAGAAGAAGAGGAAATTTGTTTCAGTTAGTTGTACTGAGACTAACCACCTCTGGGGGGCAGTGTTGTACTCAGTCGTGTCAGTTTGTTGTGATGACGCCATCATGACGTCATCATCCCACACTGACCAATCACAGGCCTGGCTGTCTGACCTGTGTGAGGCTGAAGGAGTCGACGGTGCTGTCGTCATACAGCAAGATGTTGATGGTGTCCAGAGCCCAGCTGCTCTCTGCTAATAGGCCAGACTTCAGTGACATCATCACCCGCCATGCCTCCGGGGTTCCTGATAGGATGAATTAAAATCAACACCGACAACGACGTGCGTGCGTGTGTGCGTGTGCGTGTGTGCGCGTCTCTCTGACCTGTGTCCTTGGCGGTGAGTTGGCGTCTTGGCTTCAGGTTGGGGGCGGTGGCCTCCATGGAGCCGGGGGGGAAGCTGACCTCTCTGTTGATGAGGGGGAGGCCCTGAGTGGGGAGTGGGATTGGGGGGACACCAGGGAGCCCTGGCTTCTTCATAGAGGGCAGGTAGGGGGCGCTGTTTAGAGACAGAGAGGCTCCCATTGGCCGGGAGAAGGAGGAGGAGGGGCTTAGGGAGCAGGTCACATGGTTAGGGACAGTGGCACTTGCCTGGAAGGAGGAGGGGGGGTGTCTGGATGGCATGGATGAAGAGGAGGATGAGTGGGGGGGGTAGGGTGGCTGGTGCTGGTCGAGGGGCCCAGGGGGCCACTGGGTGTCCTGGTTGTCCCCTCGGCTGATGCCAGGGTAGGGGGGCCCCTGGACCTGCCGACTGTGTGTGTAGCCCATGTCTGTCCCGGGGTGCCACATGCTGGTCTGTGGCCCCTCCCCTGGGCCCCTGGACAGCGATGGTGGTCCTGAGCCCATCATGCCATGCTGTGGAGGGGCCTGGCGATCCCGGCTGTAAGGATACGGGTACTGGCCCTGGATCGGCCGCCGCTCTGGGCCTATGTAACCCCCGCCTCCTCCCCCATAGGAGGGGCCAAACATGTCGGGCTGCTGAGAGCCATATTGCTGCACGCTAAATCCCTCCCCCTCATGACGCTTGGAGGGAGGATACATCCCCTCCGTCGGACGCTTGTAGCCCTGCAGAGCCAAAGAGAGAAGAGTCGGCTCGTCCTCACGCTAACAATTACAGATTTAACATCCGGATGTTGACCTCACATGTTTCTGAATGTTTCCTTTACTGGCAGAGCAGAGCACTCACCTGCTGCTGAGGGTACAGGGGCTGATGGGAACTGTAGGCCACGCTGTGAGGATACTGCTGCCCGTAGCCATCATGTCCATGCCTGAAGACAAAGAGTCCGCAAAGATCCAGTCAAACATTATTTCCACGAGACAGAATATCAGAACCCATGGACATAAAAACAAAGAGCTCTCACCTCTGATGGGGGTATCTGTTAGTCCGGTACATGCCGGCCTCATTTCCAGTCGGACCCATGTTGTTCTGACCACTGGGGGGCGCCATACCTCCATCTGGCCCCATCACATGGTCCAGCCTGCAGGAAACAAACGCACAAAAGAGTGTAGCATGTTTAAGAAAACACCCACAAGTACCTACAAACGTCATTTCCCACAATGGACCTCACACGGTGTCGTCTGCAGGCTCATCGATTAATAAAGAAAAAAGGAAAAGACGTCTTCACGAGTCTTTTTTTGTTTACCTCCGCTCATATCCAGGGCCGTACGGATACTGTGGTCTGGGGCCCATCCCTGTCAGGGGCCTGGAGGGGGGCCCGCGTGTGTACATGTCCTTCATTGCACTGCTGGGCATCTGACCAGGACCAAAGGCCTCGCCGGGCCCTGGACCTGCAGAGGAGCAGGTAGAAAACGGGACTTTTTCTTCAGTAACTGATAAATGATTTTAAATGGAAACATTTTTGGTTTGTTCCATTTCAAATGAAGACATTAGGTGGTTCCTGTTTGTGTTAAACATCATCAGGCACCTTTTCTTGGTCCATACGGGTCTCTGTTGGCATCGTACTGCATCCTCAAAGAAGGGTCTGTTGGACCTCCTCCCTGCCGGTAGGGGGCGCTGCCGGGTCCAGGACCTCGCTTAATGTGGAAGGCTGGATCGTTGCCTTCAGAGAACGGGTCCTGGACGCTCACTCCTCCCATGGTCCTGAGAGATAGGGATTTCTGAGTGAAGTCGCATCACGTCAAATCTTTTCGTTTCACCAGGTGATTTTGGCCCCTTCCCTACCTGCTTCCAGGCTGGGGGCCCATCTGGCTGTGCGGGGTAGAGGCAGGGGTCGGGGGCTTCAGATCTCCGGGGGCCTCGGTCAGGGAGCTGCTGCTGGACTGAGGGGTGTTGGGGCCCTGCAGGGAGCCCGAGTTGGCTGCAGAGATACAGACCAGACAGAAAACCTGCTGAGAACAAGGGTTCCGTGTCATCATGTAACTTAACAGCAGTTCATCAGAAAGCTCTAGAACATGGAGGCGGATCAGGAGCAGCGATGGACACAAACGTCAAATCAACGACTGAATGACTTTTAAACAAAACTGCTTGTTTCACTTATAGTGTTTGGGTTTTTTATAAAGACACGTGTCCACTCTTCTGAGTAAGCTCCTACTCTGTGAAGTACTTCATCATGTTGTGGTATGATACTGAATACTGAGTATAAAGAAGGACTGAAGAATCTTCTGTTCACTGTTGATGTTGAACAGTTAATGAACACAGATGGACAGAACGGACACGCGGGACACTGTTGTTTACATTTGTTCATACATGGACACAGCAGGTCTATGGACGTACAAAGGCTGGAAATCAGAAATGATTGTGTTCAATGTGTTTGATGCTTAAATTTAAAAATAAATTGCACAACAACTTGTTTTTTGTGGGGACACTCCAAGTTTTTAGTACATGTACGGTCCCCCGTAATATTTTTCTTATTTTAGGTGCATGTGTTGTCCACCTTGATACACTTGTATGTTGAGTTCATCTACAACCTCTCAGGTAAATCAGGTGCTCAGTTCCTGTAGTGGTCAATTCCAAACAGAGAACAGGTGACCTCTTACCTGGGGAGGGTGGCTGGATCTTGGTCTGGAGTGATGGAAGTTTCTTGGCGTCTCCGACGGGCCCCAGGGCCTCAGGTGGAGGCTCCTCTCCGCGCTCCACCTTACACTCGTAGGTGAACAGGTACTGGATGTACTGTTTCTTCAGAGAGCTGGCCGAGCTGCTGGACGTCCCCACGTTCAACAGTGACGATAACTCCCTCCACTTCTTGTTCTTATTCACCTGAGAAGACGACAAAGATTCACATATAAAATTTATCCAGAATCAAAAACCGCTGAGACGCAGTTCGACCGACAGGAGGAAAACTTATTCATACATACTTTTGTTTTCTGTGAGAATCAGAACAGGATTCAAGTTTTTCACTGAAGTTCATGTTTGAGCTTCAGTGAAGGACGAGAAAATGACGATGGAGAATGAAAGTTGACTCGTGGTCTCACCATGGCGAGGCCTCCTATCTCTCTGACAGTCAGGTAGAGTTTGCACAGGTCCAGCGGCTTCTTTCCGACGGCGGGCAGGTTTGGGACAGGCGTCCCCCTGTCCTCCATGAAGGAGAGGTAGCGGTCGACCCACAGCCTCCGCTCCGCCTCAGAGCCCATCTCATACAGCCGGTCGATCTTCTCATTGGTCATGGTCGCCACGCTGGGCTTCTGGAGACAAACCCACAGAGAGCCCGGTCAGCGATACCTCATCACCTGCAACCTTCAGCTGACACACACTGGTGGAAACGAAATGGGGGCATGGCTAACTAACCTGGCCACGCCCATTAAACACTAGCCTCCGCAGCACGTCGTGTAAAACACACACATAAGTTCTTTAATATAAACGGATTGACACTTCACTCCTGTCTCTTTAATGTGAACGTGTCTGTTGCTTTTTAAATGAAGTTTAAATCACTTCAGTCGCTGATAAACAGAAAAATCATTCCAGATCAAAACTAGTGTCAAAATACGAGCAAACTGAACAAAGTGTTAAAAACGATCATCATGAGCTGAAGAGTCTGAGCTGAGGACGAACATGACGCTGTCGTAACCCATCGACGAACTGAGGCCGCCACACACAGATCTGTGGCGACTGTGATCAAGGTCGACTGTTCATAACGAGGAGGAGCTGCAGCTGAGAGAGAACTGAACCTGAGCAACAATCAGGAGGAGAAGAAAAAAATCATCTGGTTCATGCTGGTTAAAACTGGTTATCATTATCGAGTGAAGACGAGGGTCACAGACACTGAAAACCACGTGGTCACCACTGTCGTCGACTGTGATGAGCAGCAACACAAGGACACAACACATCAGCTGAGCTCAGACAACAGGAATCAAACCTGCTCAGATTTCAGCTTCAGTGCCGTTAACATTCACGTGACTGGTCAACAAAGCCAAAGGACACACCTTGGCTTTGGGAGGTTCGGAGGTTGGACAAACGGCCTCTTTGCTGAGCTCAAGCCTCTGCTTGGCGTCTGGATGAGCGAGCATCTCCTCCATCATCACGGGGCCTGAAAGGTCAAAAGATAACAGATCAAGCAGTTAAAGCAGTTTATCAGGAATAATCCAACCACGGTGAAAACTCGCTTCAACTCATTGGAATCGATGGTCCTACCTGAGGGTGGGCTGTGGTAGGGGGGCCCCTGTGGTGTCCTCCTCTCAGAGTTACTGCCTGGTTGCTGGCTGTAGGAACCTGTGAGGCCTCCAGGGCCCATTCCTCCCATCGGTGCCATGCCCGGGTAGCTGCCATGCCTGAGCACCACAGAAGAGAAAATGGGTTTAATAACTATCAGATGAAATCAGTGGGCGATGTTGCAGCTCACATGCAGGAGGTTACGCTGAGGAGGAAGAGGAGAGCGTCTGTCTCAGGACCTGAAGGAACCAATATTAACTTGAATATAACAATCAATGTCTGTTTACTCTCGGACCTTGGTGGAGGTTTGACCTCGGTGATGTGAGTCTCATCTTCTCTCAGTGGAAGATAGAAGCTGAGATATTGATTCATGAATAAATGCTGAAGATAGACACCGTTCTGTTTTTGTCAATGAGCAGGTTTCACAGATGAGTTTAAATTCAGTTTAAGCAGCTGAGGACACACAAAGAAGTTAGTTCCACATCAGCAGCAGCTTCCGAAGGCACAGGAGCAGTCAGGTGACGGGAAGACGTCTGGTTATGAAACCATGACCCTTCATTGTGCAGCAGAGCCTGACACATGCTCGTCAGACGGCTTCATCACAAATCAATCTGACATCAGCTGTAGCTTCTCATTTTTGAGAAGTCGCACCACAGCTGTTTCAAGTTCAATTTACGACAAAGCCGCGTTTCTGCATTTGGCAGACTCTGGTACCAAACCTACCCATAATTCTCAGAGGGGGTCTGCACAGCATTGGTGCCCTGCAGGGAGTCGTGAGAAGGGTGAGGAGGAGGAGGAGGAGGAGGATGGTGGTGGTGGTGGTGGGGGTGAGGATGCTGGGAGGGGTGAGAAGTAGGAGGGGTGGGTCGACTCCCCGGCCAAGAGTTGTTGTGGCAGACGGGTGAACGGGTGAACGGAGGCCTGGAAGGACGGAGGCGACAAAAACTTTAATATTGAGCAGCTGCAGAAAACTTCACTCATCAACTGACGACACTTTTCTGATTCTCTGTTTGACGAGGAAGGAAAGTGTTCAACATGTTTTGTGAACCTCAGCTGTGGAAACTCCACGCTGTGTCTTTAAACATCAGTTTCCTGCAGCTGTTTGATTCTCCCCATGTTTCAGGAGATGGGCGGGGTCTCTGTCAGGACTCACCTGCTCTGAGTGGTGGACGAGGAGTTGGCACCGGACCTGCCGACTTCTGGAGTTTTGCGGCTGGTGTTGGCCACCGGAGGCCTCAATCCCTGACCGGCAGGCTGTGGCATACCCGGTGAGGTGGGGGCCATGGAGCTCCCTCCAGCAGGGTAAGGTCGCCCCCCAGCGCTGGGTCCAGGGCCACGACCTGCTGGCGTAGAGGGGCCCTGACCGTGCACCGGACTGCTGGCATTCAACCCCAGGCTGTTAGCTAAGCCCGGGCCGCTGTAGTTGGCGCTGGGGGCTCCGCCATAGTTGGGGGGGTGGGGGTAGTTACCTGAGGAATGAGGCATGACACGAGACATCAGACAAGAAGTTCACTACCTCACTGTTATCTAAGTTTGAGCAGATTGTACCTGGGGGGCCATACTGGACGTATGAGCTGCCCTGCTGGTACGAGTCGTGGTGCATAGGCCCCCCCAGTGCTGGGTGAGGGGAGATAGGTGGAGCTGACTGCTGGGGGCCAAACTGAGGCCCCGGGGTGCTCCGCTGCAGGGACGTAGAAAAACCTGAACAAAACACAGAGAGGTGTGACGTCTTTCACATCTTGTTTGTTTCAGACCTTCACACTTCTCAGTTTAGTCTGACTCTAAATATCAGGAGTGACCGGAACGATCTGCGTTCATGATCCAACAGCATCGAAATAATAATAACGAGATCAATGAGACTGTTTGTCTGAGGAGAGACAGAGACGTTTGTACTTCTGTCTTAGCGAGGACACTCATTAGCACACTTAGTAGACTAACTCCAACCTAAAGCTAATTCTAGCCCTGACACACACACACACGCACACGTTACCTCTGTCCTGCGTCATGGGCGACTGGGAGGAATGAGAACCGACATCAGTCCCGGGGATCTGGGGGGTCAGCTGAGCTCCTGACAGACAGACCATGTGTTAATGTCACTGCATCCAGCTGAGCTGTGTCGGTCCGACGTGGTTCTTCTGTAACTTCTGGATCGAATTACTCTCTTAAAAATGTCCTGAATGTTTTCTGTTGTAGCTTCTGAACAGTTTGAGGTTTGTATACTTTCAGAAATCACTTGAAACTCCTAAATGAAATCATTTAAATTAGAATAAAGGAAATCTTTAAATAAAAAGTAAAAACTCCACAGAACCATGAGGTGTTTGATA